GCGATCCACGGTTGGTAGCTCCCTGTGCTGGCCTGGAGGTGCATGGCAGAGGCCACACTGTGAACTGAGGCCGGCTGCCACTGGTACCGAGCCTGGGCAGCTCTGCAAAAGGTCCATAGGGCATAAGGCTGCTCATGAGGCTCAGCGCCTGAAAGAGCCTTAGACTGTACACAGTTGGGTGAGACAGGGTCTAAGGAGTTACCAGAGGGGAGTGAGTGGTGTCGGCCAGGTTAATGTAGATCCCAATCGGGTGTCATTGCTGAGCCTGGGACCACACAGAAAAAAGCACAGAGCACACTGAGGCCAGCTGTCACATGCCTGGGGCCTAAAGACCTTGGAGGTTTTAAGGAAAAAAGTCTGCTCGTTTTTAAATTGGATTTTCTTTCGCTCTTTCTATTGAGTCATATGACTTCTTTATAGATTTTGGATATTAACCCCTTATCAAATATATGATTTAAAAATATTTTCTCCCATTTGGTACTTGGTCTTTTCATATTGTTGATGTTATCCTTTGCTGGTCAGAAGCTTGTGTGATGTAGTCCCACTTTTTTAAAACCATTTTTTTAAATTGATTTCAGAGAGGAAGGGGGAGGGAAAGAAACATCGATGAAAGAGGATCATTGATTGGCTGCCTCCTGCATGTCACCCACTGAGAATCGAGCCCACAACCCAGGCATATGCCCTGACTGGGAATCAAACCAACAACCTCCTGGTACATGGGGTGTTGCTCAGTCAACCAAGCCACATCAGCCAGGCCTTTCTTCTTAATGTGGTTATTTATAACTACATTTCCCTCTAAGCCAGGGGTGGGCAAGTTTTTGACTCGAGGGCCACAATGGGTTCTTAAACTGGACCAGAGGGCTGGAACAAAAGCATGGATGGAGTGTTCGTGTGAACTAATATAAATTCAAAGTAAACATCATTACATAAAAGGGTACGGTCTTTTTTTTCAATAGTTTTATTCATTTCAAAAGGGCCGGATCCGGCCCATGGGCTGTAGTTTGCCCACGGCTGCTCTAAGCATTGCTTTAGACACATCCCATAACTTCTGGTGTGTTGTCTTTTCACTCATCTCAAAATATTTTCTGAATTCCTTTTGATTTTCTCTATGATCTATTGGTTATCTAGGAGCGTATTGTTTAATTTCCAAGTATTTGAGTTTCCCAATGTTCCCGTTATTTCAAATTTCATTGCATTGTGACCACAGAACCTACTCTGTATTATTTCTGTCCCTTTACATTTTTGGGTTTGTTTTATAGCCCTAGCCTATGGTCTATCCTGGAGAACTTTCTGCATGTGCTTAAGAATGCATACGGTTGTTGTTGGGTGAAACGTCCTATGTGCTTGTTAAACCTAGTTGGTTTATACTGCAGTGGTTCTCAACCTTCCTAATGCCGCGACCCTTTAATACAGTTCCTCATGTTTTGGTGACCCCCAATTTCATTGTTACAAATTGAATATAATTAAAGCATAGTGATTAATCACAAAAACAATAGGTAATTATATATGTGTTTTCCAATGGGTCACGACTCACAGGTTGAGAACCGCTGGTTTATAGTGTTCTTTAGGTCTTCCATTGTGTTGTTGGTTTTATCTATTAGTTGGTCTAATTGTTCTACCTATTACTGAGAATGGGGTATATCTGATAGCAAAACCAAAGACACTAAAAAATAAAAAAAATTATAGGCCAATATTCCTGATGAACATAGATGCAAAAATCCTCAACAAAATCCAGTAGTAGCAAACCGAATTCATCAATACATTAAAAAGATCATATACCATGATCAAGTGGAATTTATTCCTGGCATGCAAAGTTGGTTCAATATCCACAAATCAATGAACACGATACACCACATAAACAAAATGAAGACTAAACATTATTATTATCATATAAATGCAGAAAAGCACTTGACAAAATCCAACAACCATTTCTGATAAAAACTCTCAGCAAAATGGTGATAGAACATCCCACAACATAATAAAGGCCATATATGACCAACCCAAAGTTAACATCATACTTAATGGTGAAAAGCTAAAAAAATGTTTTTACTAATTTGAGAGAGAGAAAGGAAGAGGAGAAACACTGATGAGAGAGAGAAACATCAATTGGATAGGCTGCCTCCTGCACACTCCCCTGCTGAGGAGTGATCCCACAACTCGGGCATGTACCGGGAATCAAACCAGTGACTTCTCAATGCATTTGTTGTCACTCAGCCACATGGACCAGGCTGAAAATTTTTTAAGATCAGGAACAAGACAAGGACGTCCATTTTTACCACCTTTATTCAACATAGTATTGGAAGTCCTAACCACAGCAATCAGACAAGAAAAAGAAAGCATCCAAACAGGACAGAAAGAAGTCAAACTGTCATCATTTACAGATGATATGATACTTTATAGAGAAAACTAAAGATTCCACCAAAAAACTATTAAAACAGATGACTCAGTAAAGTAGGATACAAAATTAATATTCAGAAATCAATTGCATTTTTATTTATTTTTGTTAATCCTCACCTGAAGATACTTTTACCATTGATGTTTTTAGAGAGTGTGCAAGGGAGGAGGAGAGACAGAGAAAAACATTGATGTGAGAGAGATACATCAACTGGTTGCTTCCCACACGCACCTCAACTGGGCCCAGGAATCGAGCCTGCACCCAAGGTATGTGCCCTTGATCAGAAACGAACCCGAGACCATTTAGTCTGAGGGCCAACACTCTAACCACTTAGCCAAACTGACTAGGGAGATATCAGTTGCGTTTTTTTAAAAATACATTTTTATTGATTTCAGAGAGGAAAGGAGAGGGAAAGATAGAAACATCAATGATGAGAATCACTGATCAGCTGCCTCCTGCATGCCCCCTACTGGGGATCAAGCCCACAACCCAGGCATGTAACCTGAGACTCAAACCTCCTGGTCCATAGGTCGATGCTCAACCACTGAGCCACACCAGCTGGGCTAAGCTGCATTTTTATACATCAATAACAAACTATCAGAAAGAGAAATTAAAAAAGCAATTCCATTTACAATTGCATCAAAAGTAATAAAATGCCTAGAAATAAATTTAACCAAGGAAGTAAAAGATCTGTACTCAGAAACTATTAGACACTGAATCAAGAATCTGAAGATGTAAATAAATGGATAGGAAGAACTAACATCATTAAGATGTCCATACCACCCAAAGCAATCTACATATTTAATGCAATCCCTATCAAAATACTAATAACATTTTTCACAGAACTAGAAAAACTAATCCTAAAATGTATATGAAAGGTAAAAAGACCCTGAATAGTCAAAGTAATCTTAAGAACAAAGTTGGAGGTATCACGCTATTTGATGTGGAACTATAGTACAAAGCTACAGTAATTAAAACAGCATGGTACTGGCACAAAAACTGATACATAGATCAATGGAACAGAATAGAGTCCAAAAATAAACCCGTATCTACATGGTCAATTAATCTATGACAAAGGAAGCAAGAATATACAATGGGCAAAGACAGTATCTTCAAAAACGGTTAGGAAAACTGGACAAATACATGTAAAAAATGAAAATGGATCATTTTTCAAGTTATGTCTAATTACTATGTTGTACACCTGATACTAATGTAGTATTGTATCATAACTGTAACTAAAAAATTTTAAAAAAATGAAAGCAAAAGGTCCTTGCTGGTGTGGCACAGAGGTTAGAGTGTCATCCTCTGCACAAAGTGTTGTTTTGGTTTGATTCCCAGTCAGGGCACATACCAAGGTTTTGTGTTCGATCCCAGTTGGGGTGCATATGGGAGGTAACCGGTTGATGTTTCTCACATCAATGTTTATCTCTCTCTCCTCTTCTATTGCTAGAATCAATGAAAAAAAAAATCCTCAGGTAAGAATTAAAAAGAAAAAAAAGTAATGGAAAATGGGGCACAGTCTCCAACTATTATTATTAAATTTTCTTACTTTCTGTCAGTTTGTGTTTCATGTATTTTGGTTCTCTGTTATTAGGTGCACATGTTTATAATGTTTATATTCTGATGGACCCTTTATCATTATAAAATGTCCCCTCTTTAACATTTTTCTTTTTAAAGTCTATTTAAAGTTATGGTTTTGTTGACATGCATCTGTATTGAATGAACATGTGCAAACATTTTTCTTGTCATTGTTCACTAAGAATACAGTATAAAAACTATTTACATAGTATTAAGTATTGTATATAATCTAGAGAAGAGACTTAAAGTATAAGGGAGGATGTATGTAGGTTATGTACAAATACTATGCCATTTAATATAAAGAACTTGAGTGGTCGAAACCGGTTTGGCTCAGTGGATAGAGTGTCGGCCTGCAGACTGAAAGGTCCCAGGTTCGATTCCGGTCAGGGTATGTGCCTGGGTTGCAGGCACATCCCCAGTGGAAGATGTATAGGAGGCAGCTGATCGATGTTTCTTTCTCATCAATGTTTCTAACTCTCTATCTCTCTCCTTTCCTCTCTGTAAAAAAAAAAATCAATAAAATATATATAAAGAAAAGAATATTTTCTAAAAAAAAAAAAAAAAAGAACTTGAGTGGTTGTGGATTATGGTATCAGCAAGGAGTCTTGCAACCAATTCCCTGTGGATACTATAAGGAATGACTGTATATCCTCTTTTGTAAGTCAAAACAGGTACTATGTTCAACAGGCATGCAAAATAAAGCATCTTAATTAACATGTGAAAATAATTTTATAAATATAATTCTGTAACAATAAAGGAAAAAAGATGATTCCATGAAAATGTTTATCAGATATAACTGAAAAGTCATTTTAACAGCATAAAAATGATACAAACGTTTTACTAAAAAATATTATTTGAAAATTTATACTAAAATATAATTGAATTAATCCCACCCATTTAAAATAATTGTAAATAACCAAGTCAGAGAAGCAAAAGTATAATATGGGACTTTGATGTTTTTAGCACTAATATTTAAGAACAAATAAGAACAAGTTTCACTTAAAAGGAATCCAATCTTCCCTTTAGCTAATTGTATTATTGTCATTTTATTGGTCTCTTAAGCAAAACAGTTAAATGACTTCCAATTATAAAGACAGGTTAACATTGTAATAGCTTTACCAAGGTAATAACTTTTAGAAAGCTTTCAATTAAAAAAGAAATCTACTCAATAGGAAAACCACCAGTTATTAACCTCACTGTGTATTTAGAAAGGATTAAAAATACACATTTCCTGGGACACCAAACTGTACCAAAAGTATTTCCTTACAAAGTAACTTTACAGAACAATACAACTGGACTTATACAAAGACATATATTGACATGTTAGCTTTAATACACAATTCAGATGTGTTTGAAGCAACTTTCTAGGAGGGCCTTATTGCATTGATATGGAAGTGTACAACTTCTTTAACTCTTTAAAAATAGTAATAAAAATTACAAAATAATGCAAATGTAGAATTAAGGCTGAGATTATATAATCTAGTATTAATAGACTCAAACAATACTTATAAAAATGGATGCTGCTGCGGCCTATTTTATATATACAAGGGTAAAGTCTTTAGAAATTTAAAATGTTACTGCTGTCACAAGTTCACTCATGTAGTTAATATTTTTTTCATGTATTTTAACATTTGAATTCCCAGATACCTGGTGCTTTTTCTTCTTTTATTTTGAATTCTTCATTAAGAGTTTCCTCACATATTTAAAATTAAATACCTAACTTCTGGAACTTTCCTTAGATACAATCAACAAAACAGTTTTGTTAAATAAATTTACACAAAAGTAATAAAAAGGTTTGTTTCCAAGAAATAGTTCTGGCAAATTCATAGTAATCATATTGAAAAATAGTTCGTATACTTTTCTTCAGTATTAATCAATGCTATGTGCCAGTTTTAGTCACTGCCGTATTTGCACATTTTCCTCTGACACATTTGCAAGATAATGACAATCAAAGGGCATGTTGACTGGAATAATTACAGTTAATCCATATCATCCAGTAAGAGTCATAAAATTGAATGGTTGCTTCTGGACAGACATGGAAATGAATGCCCAGGTGCTTGTACTGTCCCCATAGATAATCAGTCTGGTAAATCACCTCCTTAGTCTTCCGAAACAGAGCTGCACAAGGCAGGGCATTCTCACTGAGACCACAGGTCCCCTCTTCTCTGTCACCTTTCACACATTTGTTTTGCTTACAGTCCTGGTCATAATGGAAAGAGAGAAAAAACATAATAGATGTTATGAATCAAAGTTCTCCTTTCCCAAACTCCCTCATTAGACCTGTATGGTTAAATATCCAAAGGAACTATGGGCTATTATAATTCTTCATATAAACATATTTAATTAAGTCCTTGTACATAAACACTTTGTTGACATGTATGCCAAAAAAAAAGGTAAAAAAGCCTTAAAATAAAAGCAGCAAACATATATAGAAGGGGTAATTTGTACCATAGTTCTTTACAATGGTGTATGTCAGACCCCAAATCTGAAGATTTTCACTTACTTAATCCCCCTTTTCCTTAAATGAAATTACTATTTAAAAAATTAACAATTATAATGCTTATTACAAAAAAGTTATAAAATAAAGACAAGCAAACAGAAAAAACATGAAAAAATACCTATATTTCTATTCACATTGAGATGAACATAGTGAATACCTTGCATATAAATCTATCCAGACGTTTTTATTCAGGTATATCTAAATAATTTATTTTTTAATGATAGTTCCTTAAACTAAACTTCTATTTCCAAAAAGATACACATTTTTTTTATAAAGAGCTAATTTGTGATCTTTATGAGTAGAAAATGAATTAGAAAACTGAAGTCTCTATTAAAGAAAACGAGTCTACTGTGTAGTATCCCATAGTGCTAAGTATATTTTGTCGACTGTAAAGTCCACGTTCTTTCACATTTAACATCTCTGAAATCCACCTTTGAATGCCATGAGTTAATATGCAGTGTTTTTCTTTAATGTTCACGACAGTTTCTATAATGTTTCTCTTATAATTAATAACATCTTAAAGTTGATGAAATATGGTAGTAACTACAAAAGCTTATAATAACTATACAAGTATGTAATACACATATACAAGTAAAAACATACACACACATTTTGTTGCTATTTCCTGCTATTTAATTTGTTCCTGATTATATGGATGAAATATATCACTATTTCAATAGTAAGATACTGCTCAAATGCTTTACTGTTTTTGAGATGTGTGAGATTAGTCCAAAATTTATGGAGTATAGGCCAAGACTGAGTATGAGAAAATTACTAAACACTACTTTAAGTTTTATATAGAAATTTATGAAATTTACATTTTAAATGGCAAGTTTAGAGTGATTTTAAATTTCCCAAAGATAAATAAGATGCAAAAGGCGAGGAAGCCATAGGCTAGAATATACCAATTTTCAACCTAAAACGTCTAACACTGCCAACACAAAGCTAAACCTTTTGGTGTGCGTTGTGTGTGTGCCAAAATCTGCATTGATAACATGGTTCTCCCTTTCTCTCTCTGAGAAAATTTACACTCTTCCACCTTTCCTTGATGTTCTAAAATTTTACTATCAATTATCTTCGAGCCTCTTCAGAGTCAGTCATTAGGCTGGGCATTCAAGGCACCCTTTTCATTCATCCCTGGAAAATTCTCTTCCACATATTTTTTTCTTCTACGTTTTCTTCTTTCTAGGATTCCTTGGTCTGAAAAGATTCTGTCTCCTCCTTTGTCTTCACATATTTTTTTTGTAGGAAGTTTCTTTGACTTTAGTCCTTTGAATTTTTAACTTCAGCAACAGTATTTATAATCTATAATCTTGTACCATCCATAATCTCCTAATACCCTCTTGAGTTTCGTGACTATAACTCCTTCTGAAATCTTATTAAAAATTACAAAATTTAAAAAGAGTTTGGTTAAATTATCTTCTCTAGTTGGTTTTGCTATTTTTCTCTCACATGCATATGCATGGCGATTCTTGGTTTTATGATTATACTAGAGGCCCAGTGCACGAAATTCGTGCACTGGTAGGGTCCCTAGTGGCTGCTGGCCGGGTACTCCCTCTCTTCCCCCAACCGCCTGCCACTGCTGCTGACCAGGGCCTTCCTCCCTTCCTCTGTCCGGCCCCACCACCTGGTTGAACTCTTCCTGGAGGAACTGCCAGTTGAGGGGGCAATTTGCATACTATACTTTTATTATACAGGATTTAAGAAAGAGGATTGTACTGCTGGCCTGGATTTCTTCTCCTGTTATAAAAACAGAACCATTTGCCCATCAAATCTCGTTTCTGAGTGGAAATTTAAAGTGGGCCAGGGCAGAGCAGGGTCAGTGGGTCAGCAGGCTTTGCTTTAAGTGTATGGCTGGAGAGCCAACTATCAGGTTGTTAGATCCTTAAATGCCAACATTGGACAAGCCTCTAGAGTGCCACCAATGTGTATACCTGAAGCCAATATATGAACATTTAATTAAATAATTACCACTATTATCTAACTCCTGGTGCAGCTGTAATGCCTGGACACAAGGGAACAGAGCTTTCACAGTTTTGCTTTGAACATCTGGCATATTCTAGGCTGTGATTTCTTCTTCTTTTCCAGCTTCTCCCATCCCTCTTTTGTCTCTGCCACTGTCTCTACAGTTTTTCCCAGTCCCTCCTTCTCTACTATATTCTAGTCTTGTTTCTATCTTATCACCAGAAAAAATTTCAGTCAAATGTGAAGGCTGAATGAAGACATTTTCAGATGTGCAAAGGCTCTGAGTTTCTTTGGATACACTTTTCATAAGAAAGTTAGAGAAAAACAAGGAATCCAAGACACAGTGGATTCAACCCAAGAAAGTAGCCAAGGAAGGCCCAGGAAGCCTACATAGTTAGTACTATGTAGGAAGAGTATGTGATCAAGACAAATAGTAGGGGGTAGGGGTAAGAAAGGAAATTAGAAACTCCAGAAAAAAATTAATAACATCCAAGAAACTGTCTAAATAAGAATTGGATTAAATTTTAACATGATTTTATGAACTGATCCAGTATGGAAGATTTGATTCTGATGTCTGGAATGCTGACTGGTGACCTAGAACTTCATAGAGAAGGAAAGGTAATCCTAGCACCCAGCTTTGCCTAGTACTAATTGTTTACACAGCCAGAATAATGTATGTGGTTTACTGTTCTCTACCTTTGAAAAAAGCAGGGAGGATTTGGTATAAGAAAATAATCACGATAGAGAAAAATTTCTAAAATAATTCAGAACAATTCTGTCCAATAGTCATTAGGTGGCCAGGTAAGACAAACCTCCACACCAGGGTTGGGTGAGCTGTGCTGTCTGAAAGCTGATAAGACAGACATAAGTATATTTAAAAAATGGAGGCAACAACAGAATAACTAAAATTAAACAGTTAAAATAAATGTTGCCTCTAGCAAACAGGATAAGAAGAAAATGCAGAGGATACAAGATTTCACCATCATAAGCTCTTTCTGTACGTGTGCTTGTCCAATCTGGTAGCCACTAGCCACATGTGGCTCAAGTACTTGTATTGTAGCTAGTCCTAACAGAGATGTGTTGTCTTCAGAATTTTGAAGACTTTGTATGAATAAAAAAATTTAAAATACCTCAACTATAGTTTTTCATGCTGTTTACATGTTACAATGATAATATTTTATGTACTAGATTCAGTAAGACCTATTATTAAAATTAATCTCATTTTTTAATATGACTCCTAGAAAATTTCAAACATCTATCAGCTGCCTCCTGCACGCCCCCCACTGGGGACATGCCTGCAACCAAGGCACATGCCCTTGACTGGAATTGAACCCGGGACCCTTCAGTCCCCAGGCCGACGCTCTATCCACTGAGCCAAACCAGTCAGGGCATTATAAAAATCTTAATTAACAAGATCCAGACCAGTGACATATGTAGAAGTGCTGTAACTATAAGGTCTTGGGCTACTTCAGTGCTGAGGCTAAGATGAAGCTTCAGTATTAAGTACTTTAGT